CTGCTGCTGCACCCCGCGTCCGCTAGAGGGCGCCGGGGGTCTCGGAGGTGGAGTGGAGTTTGGTGCTGCTCCCCCAAAGCCCTGGAATGGGAACCGCAGGGGCCGCCCCAAGGCTGGCTCAGGAGCTAGGGCGGGAGACCTCAGGCCTCCCCCACGGCCCGCAGGACAATCCACATCACCGTCGGGAATCGGACCTGGGAATAAAAGGCCTCCAGGGGAGCAGTTTTCAGGAGTCGGACCACTTGCAGATGGCCCAGCACAGCCTGCACATGCCGCCCCCCCACCTCTGAGTGGGGGCTCTGTTTTCTGGGGGGGTGAGGGGGGCGGGGAGGCCTGGTGAGATGGAGGTGAACATGCGCTTGGTCCCACTGGCATGGGTGTGGGTGGCTTGGGCTCACCAGGCATCGCACCCGCTGTCTGAGGATGGAAGGTTGTGCAATCTGTCCCCAAGCAGGCAGTGGGCGCTGCAGACACCCCCCTGAGAACCAGTTAAGCGGCACTGACAGCACCACCTCCCCCACACACACACTATCTCCCCCACCTCCGTCTGACAGCACCAGGGCAGCCTGGGAGTCTAGAACCCGGGACCTGGCCCTTTTGCTTCTGGGGGAACCAGTATGATCTCACAGCCTTTGCCACTGTGCCATCACCTCTGGCCCCCACAGAAGTTGGGGGGCTGACTATGAGATACGGGCAGGACAACACGCACGCAGGCTCTCTGGGACTCCGTTTTCCTTTCTGCAAAATAGGAATAGTGACCCTTTCCCCATCAGACATCTGCGATGAAAAACCCCCACGAGGTCAGAATGTGCTGGACATGGTAACGGTTCCGTCCAGCTCGCCCACCGGTCCTAGCGGAGCGCAGCAGCAAGGAGTCCTTTTGTTCCTTCTGTAGGGGGGAACCGATTTAGTCAACACGCTTCACCAAAAGGGGGTTCGGTGTAGCAGGCATTGTGCTGGGCCCTGAACTGTGGAGACAAACAAGACCCCGTCTTGGCCCTCGAGATGCGGAGGACAGCAGTGTGGGTGCTGGGGTGGACTCCCCTTCTCCCTGGAACCAGGAGTCCATTCTTCTTCTCAGCCATTGATCCGCCGGAGGCTGCGCCGTGAGCACACGCTTCTGTGCGGAGCCTCATGGGGGACGAGGAAGACTCGCAAGGAGTAGCCCTGGAGTTAATGGGTGAGAGAGTGCTTTGTAAATTATGCTGCTCTGACACAGTCAGGGTCATTCTGCCTCCCACAGACCCGCGGAGTGCCCACTCCTGCCTGGCCCGGGCAGCGTGCTGGGAAGACAGGCGGTGTGCGTGCGGGGTGAATCCTGTAGAGAGAGAGGGGAGGTGAGAGACATGGGATTCCCGGCCCACTCCACGCCACCCAAGGGCTGAGTGCCCCGTGCCCCCCAAGGGCTGCGGGTGTGGTTATGATGCTATGCAAAGGTGGTAGTTCATTGGGGAGAGGAGGGAGGAGGAGATTGAAGCAGGGAGCTCTGGGAATTCCCGTCTAGTTGGAGCGGCCTCTGGGACCGGTGGGTCCTGAGGACAGCAGTGCGGTGCCCAGGCGAGCCCAGGCTCTAGGCAGGCCCAGCAGCAAGAGCTGCCTGGCTGGCGGGGAGCTCAGCGGGGGCCCGGGGCTGGGGCTGATGGGAGGGCAGCGAGGAGAGCAGCAGGCACGCCAGGACCCGGACGGGCCGTCCTGGCTGGAGGAAGTCAGGACACGCAGGGGGAAGGGGGCTGGGCCCACTGTGTGCCGACTCAGGAGACTGGACTGCTGGCCCCGCTCTGCCACCCAGTAGCTGGTGACATTGGGCAACTTACTCCCCCAGCTGTGCCTCACTCTCCTTGCTGGTTAAATGGGCTGGTAGCAGTACCTACCCCGCCCGGTAGATGTGAGGACTGAATGAACGATTGCATGCAAAATGCTTAAAAGGAGAGGAGAGGAGAGGAGAGGAGAGGAGAGGAGAGGAAAGAAACGCTTAGAAGAGGGCCTTGTGCATACGAAGTGCTCGGTGCCCGGCGGCCATGCTTATTTCGAAAGCCCCGGGTGTCTGTGGAGAGAGCCGGGGGGCTGCCAGGGGATGGTTGGCCGTGAGCGGCGCCCTGCTTGGGGAGCTACGCGTCTCCTGCGGGACATGCTTGCCCACCAGCTGTCCTCCTGTGTCCAGCAGCCACCGAGCGTCCCTCCGGCTGCCTGATCGCTCCAGGGTTCCCGTCGCCTTTGGGATGACCCCGGCCGCTCAGTGAGTGTGTCCACAGCTCTGTGCTTGTCTCCACCCCGTCAGCGGCCTCTGCCCCGCCGACCCCTCACGCTGCAGCTACAGGGAGCTCCCGCTGACTCCAGAGTGTCCCCTGGACCTGGGTCTGTGTGTTTGTCTCCCTCCGGGTGGAACGAAGCCCGCACTCGTCTGGTTTCTAGGTTCCCTGTAACACTTGGCACCCGAGACCCTAACCGTCCAGGGGGCTCTTTCCACTTTGACCAATGGCTCTGGGGCCGCGTCCGGCGGGAACTCCAGCACACAGACTGTATCTGATGTTTCCTTTGTGAGCCCAGAGCGTGGTCCCCGGAGCCCAGGACTCTCTGAGGCAGGGGCGGTGGCCTTCCCTTGTCTCCAGCCGTCGGATGCCACCAGCCCTTCCTCCAGAGCCCTCTCCCTGAGGGCCGGGAGGTGGGCGAGGGTGGGCGTGGGTGTGTGGATTGGTGGAATTAGTAGGCCAACTAATCCCAGACCAAGGCAGTGAGGCCTCCGATGTGGCCGGGAGAGTCGGGGAGGAGCTGCCTTCCAACACAGACACCTTCCCAGGGACCCGCTTCCAGGCAGAGAGGTGCCCAGGCAGAGAGGTGCCCAGACCAGAGCAGGTCACCTGGCATCGCACCCTC